GGGGCACTCTGGGGGGACTGGGGGAGTAGTCTGGTGATGAGGCCTGGAAGCGGTCCCCCTATGGCCCCCTCCTTCAGCCCCCTACTTACCAGCATGGAGTCTGGATCCAGCTCCCTGTGGCAGTGAGTAGGGATTGCCTGAATCTCCAAAGCTCTCTGTATCTTTTTCAAATCAATTCAGACAGCTCGAATCAATTTGGACCTTTTAATTGGTCTCCTGATTCAATTCAGATTTGGAGATTTGGCTGCCAAATCGAGCCCAATCTCCTCTGAATTGAATTAGCACCCAAAGCTTCATACAGCTTATTTTTTGGCAGGTTTTGTAGGCTGAAGTCAGTTCTGTGTTGCCATGGCTAAACTGCCAGCAGTATTTTACTGGATTTTTTTCCCCCTATGTGCTCCAGTGAATATGGAATATGTACATGGCTATATAAATTAAATGAATATATAAATGAATTTAATATCTTACAGTACATAGCACAACACCTTCTGTAATCCTTAAGCATTTCAAAGCAGTATTGATTCCCTTCCAGAAGTTCCATCAGGTTCGGTGAAAATTGAATACAGCTTGTTGGGTTGTAGTTGAAACTGCAGTTGAATGTGCCACCCTTTTGAAAACCTTAGCTACATTATATAAGAATCTTTGCAATGAAAAATAATACTTTACTCATTTGCAATACAGGAAGCAGTTTGTGAAGGCAAAATGTCATCACCTTCTCTGATCTTAGCAACCACAGTGAACCTGGATCATTTGTATGAGGCTTGTTCGCCATCTGCTTAATTCACAGCAGGTTGCCAAAATAGAGAGAAGCTGAACAGTTTGCTTTGGGTTTTACTTCAAAGGGCACTGCTTCCTTACTTAGCTGGAGTGCATCCACAATCACATACAACTGATTGGAGAAGTGACATCCTTTGTAATAAATGTGGCAGCAGACAGCTGTAGTACCTCATGCAACTCTGTGGTCCTATGCAACTCTGTGGACCCTGTTACAAACAGTCATATTTGTAGCAGAGGAAGGAACCCAACCTTGCTATATTTTGCAAAATCAGCGCTTTTTGGTTTTGGACCATGCATCTGATTTTTCAGACTACTTCTTCAGAAAACGTTGTCCTGTTAAGGGTCAAATTCATTTATTCCATTACAGAATTAACTTTTCATACATGTATCCTTAGATCACTGAATTTTGTTTGTAATTCTAGTCATGTACAGCTAACTGTTGTAGCATCCCTGACTCTGAAACAAAGGCTATGTACAGATGTTCAAAAAACCTGAGGCAGAATCAATCAAACCTATGCATGTTTCCATAAGCAGCATAGGTTAGATCAGGAGCAAACAGAAAACACATCCACCCTTTGGTGGGGTGGGGAGTGGCATGCAGGCTGCCTACCCTGGCCGAGACCAACAGATTGGGGGTGCTTCTGTATGCCTCACAGCACTGCTGAGTACACGGGCCACACCTGATTGGTTGCCAGACACATGCTCCCAACCCCCTGCCATCATTACAGAACCTTCCCTGTGGCCAGCCTTAGCCTTCTAGAAGAATGCTTGAGCAGGTCACTGTGACACCCCCTCCCCGCCCCACTGCCATCTGAGTTACTGGGCACACCATGGTGACCCGCTCTGGGGCTCTTGTGCAAACATAGGGTGGGGCATGGGGTATGGTCCATGGTGATGGCAGAGGGTTGGGGGATTGTGCTTGGCAACCAATCAGGCTTGGCTTGGGCACTTTGCTGAGGCAAGGATTTGGCCTCTTGGAACTCCAGCACTGGCAGCAGCCAGCAGCAGGAGGCTGGGAAGCCCTACTTGTTCCCACTGCCTGGCACCAGCCTCCTAGGCTGCTGGGAACATCCTGCCACCAGCTGCACGGATACCTCTCTTCTCTCCCCCCGACCCGTATGTGACTGACAGCTGGCTGGAAATGGGACAGGGGAAATACTCTGCTGGCTCCGCTCTGTGACAGGTCAGGGCAGGGTCTGCTGGGCACCTGGCTGGAGCAGCCAAGCATCCATTGAGTGCTAGCATACCTACCTGTGAGGGGAGGCTAGCGGGGGCTGCAAAGGCACCTGGAATGCTAGGAGACAGCAACCTAACATGAATCAATAGGGCATCTGGTACAGTAGTTCAATGCACTGGTCTAACCTAATTCAATTACATTTGAGTTCACATCAATCCAGGTCTATCTTAGATGAGGTTCTGCCATTTTTAAATGTGCTCTGAACCTCTGTTCTGTTACAGGTGTAGACCAGTTTTTGGTTCCTTATACCAGTTTATGTGTAATGTGTGTACCTGGCCAAAAACCAAATCACTTCATACAGAAAAAAAATGACTTGTTCCATTTCATTTACCTTTATGAACACCATAAAATATGGGGATCTGAAACCGAAATAAGTAGTTTTTGAAATTCTCTGAATAAATTATCCTACCCACTAGTATGATCTGCAGTTTTCACTAGGCACACCAAATAACTACAGAATTTGACAAATATTTTGTGAAATAATTTTTGGATATGTAATATAATGGGGACAGTAACGCTTCTTTAATCAGATTCTAGGCATTCCTTGCACTGTCTCTTTC